AGCTACAGGTGTAGCCACAGCTGCCCTGGGGCAGACTGACAGAAGCCAGGCTGCCATATCGCACCATCGGCCCCTCTGGCCAACACCAGTAGGCGGTAGGTGAAGTGTCTTGCCCAAGGACACAATGACCAGGACAGAGAGTGCAGGTTACAGATACGCCTCCCAACCCCCTGAGCCACGGTCGCCCACAGTTCCAGTTGAATATTTCTGTGCAGTGTAAATATTCTGGCACAAGTTAGTAATAGACAAAAACTATAGACAATAGTATGACATTTTCTAATAAACAAATACCAAAAAACAAACAAACAACAGAGAACACAAATTTCTTGAATAATTGCATTGTGCATGTATTTACAATGTATCTTTAGGTTAATAAATGATTGTTGGTTTCCGCTGTCAGTTCAACACTGAATTTCTTGAATAAATGTATAGTTTTTGTCTCTTACCATCTATCTTTAGGTTGATAAATGACTCCTTGTTTCCATCGATGGTGCTGGTGTAGCACCTGTATTTCCCTTCATCTCGAACCTCCACCTTTGTCAGCTGCAGTGAGGCGTTTCCTGTGGAGATCTGGTCACTGGACAGTGACGTCCTGCCTCTGAAGCGCTGGTTCTGATGTTCCAGCTGATCTTTGTTGTGGTAGAATGAGTGGACAATAAGGTCTCCTGCTGATACCTGAATCCAGTGGATGACTACATCACTGCCACCATAGCTGCACGGCAACATACATCTCTCCATGAAAATGCAGGACACCTCAGTATCTGCAACAACAGGTAGAGACACATGATCAAAGTCATGAATCAGAGGTTTTGTGTTTGTGTACTTGAGTTGTTTCTGTTTGGGTTTTCCTTCATTATAAAGTTAGAAGTTTTGATTCTTTTAGTTCAATTTGGATGAATGTTATTTTTTTATTATTCTACTGAGGCTGTTGTGTGTTTGTAGAGTTTTAGGTTCCAGTTTATATATTTTACTTTTTACCCTGTCTGTCTGATCCTCTGTCACATTCTTTCTGTGTCAGTCACGGTTCCCTTATTATTATTACTTTGTGTTTGTTTATTTTTTTTGTATTGTACTGTATCAAGAGAAGAAAACGAGAAATAATAAAACACAGGTGCTCGACTGGAATGTAGTCTCGGTCTGCACCACAAACTGTTAAACTATCAGGAAGCTCTTTCTAAACTTGCTCATTAGATTTAAAAGAAGTTTCCTGAACTTTGACCTGAATCTCAGAATTACAGAAATACATTTGCTGACATATAAATTCATGTTAATGTAAATTATTAATTATAATATATTATAATATAATTATCTAGAGTACAAATGAAAAATTGTTTAAAAAATAAATTTTCACTAATGAAGGAAAAATGTTTTCAAAACAGGGCCTTCCTATAAAGTCATATATCATTCATATCAAAGACGACTGTGTGGATGAATTTTTCAGTTATTACAAAAGAACTCTAACAGACTCCATTCAGGCTTAAACACCTGAAGACCTGAAGTACAAGGTTATGAAAATAGGACACTGCTACCATGAGAGCAGAATTTAACAAAACTACATCTGATAAATGAGAATCTAAAAATATCCACAATAATAATTACTGATGACCACACACCTCAAACATAAATTTGTCACATCTGCATGTTTTCAAATCTTTAACGTTATGAGAAATAAAATCATGTATAACGAGATAATTGTTATACTTTGTAGTTACATACACTTTGATTTGCTATAATTTATCCAACCAAATGAAGCAGTTATTTTGACATTTATCCTGACATGTGATTTTCTTAAACTTAAAAGTTAGAGTAAAAGGTGGATATATTTAAATTTGTTTTATTTTTATTTTTTTTAAAAAGTGCCACTAAGAACAATTTTGCTTCTGTGCATCCAAACAATGTATAAACCTTATTCACATTTCATGATAAATAGTTTTTGACATTGTTGCCTCCACTCCCACACGCTGAATGTGTTCAGTGTCATCCCGCCTCCAACCCAGCGCCTACAGCAGGGTGCAAAATGCTAGCAAGCAGGCATACATGGACTGCTATGACCAAGTGGCCAGCAGAGTGTCCAGGAACATCTGTGCCACATATGCCCTGGAGGTACAAATGTTACACCGACCCTAGGGTGGTTAAGAAAGACCGAGCTAAGATCAGAGGGACTTCCAGATACAGATGGACAAAATCGTGGCATAGTAGTAGTGGGCAAACAGAGTAAGACGGCCGTAGTGATAGATTTAGAGATACTGAGTGATGGCAGCATCAGGGAGAATGAACATTCTGGCCATTTTGATCATTTTCTAGCTTCATGTTATTCGTGTCATACTAATTTTTTGGGCTGCCCTTCAGTTTATCATCAAAGAAAGATTAAAAAAGAAAGAAAGAGCTTCCCTAAGATGTAAACACCATATCCATATACCAGAAGATGCTGCAGAAAGAGTAAAACAGGAAATGAGAAAAAGTAATTTATTTGTAGCGCTATTATACTATACTATCAATAACAAACTGATACATAGACTAGTAATACGCATGTTTTAAAGACTTCCAGATTGAGACAAAATAACATAACACGAGACATAAAAATGTTTAAATAAAGTCATGTACAGAAACATGAAAATGAAAAAAGAAAAGACTTATTTGAGGTAAGGAGAGACAACACAGTAGTACACTAAAGTATGTTGTCAGAGATTTCAAACCTCAGAGTGCCAGCTGTTTGCTGACTCATCAACAAGAAAATATTCATGCAGGAATCCATCCTAACAGGTTGTCTTACAATCCTTTAAAGGTCTCTAAAGTTTAAGAACAGATTTACTTCACAATAACCATGTAAACACAATTCATTAGGATATCTTGCAGTCACAGTTTGCCTCCTGTTACCGTACAGAAAGTTGTAAATACTTCAGTTTTCCTTTGATTATAAACTCATCTTTGTGTGTGTTTAATTAAATTAAACTCACTATTGTGCAGCCAAACATTGTGTGAACCATATTCCTACTTCACTGAATAATGATCACATTAAAAAAGAGGTTTCTTGCTGTACCTGTCATTTCTGAGATTTATACCTGAGCTTTAAGTTTGACTCAGTCTATCTCTTCAGTACCTCCTATATTTGGTTTGTAAACATCATAACTGTGATTTGTATTCACAATAGATTCAAGTAATAAGTGCAGTGAAGCTTTTACTCACCTGCTTTTACAAAAGTCCACTGAAAAGTCAGGACCACCAAAAACACGACACACTTGATCCCAGCCATTGTCCTGCTGTTTCATGGTACACGATCTGAGTGTTTGTGAGTAAATACATCTACATGACGTCACACGACATCTGACCCAGCTGGTTTGCTGCTTACAGCAGCTTAGCATATTCACTGTGACGATAATCACACCCTTCATCTGAATATCTGAAATTCTTTTTTTGTGACACACTGAGGAACAAGTTAATCATAAACTGCTCACAGTATTCATGTAATTAACTTCTTAACACAGAGTTCAACTGTCCAACCAGAAAATTTGTGAATGACAAAGAATAAAAAGAACCCAAAATACTTCTATAATATTTCACTGACACTGTGTGATGTGTGTGGCAGGACTACATAGTGCAGAAAAATGTTGTTGTTGTGGTTTACTCTGAATATTTTCTCTGACTGGATAATTGTGGATGGTAGCCTTGGTCTGGCCTTGGACTTAGCCTGGGTTCTTTTGCTGTGGTGCGGAAGAGGTAAGCTATAGAAATGCCTTTTTCATTTTAATGTGGAGCATGTTACTGACTCAGTATAATGTTTAAGATACAATTCTGCTTTAGATTATGTTTGTCTAAATCTGACTGCAGTGCTTTAAAGCAGACACTGAGAAACTGAGCAAGGTCATTTGTACTGGTGTGACACAGGAGGAAGAGAATTTCCTTTGATAGATAATATTTGGGTCATTTTTAAGTTGTCATACTGTACTGTAAGATTTTCTTCAAGTATGTGTTTTTCACATTATATCATTTCGACCATTATTTCCAGGCATCTTCACCGAGTAACGTAGGAGATAACTTTGTCATTTTGTGAAAAAAATTCACTTCAGCATCCCCTGCTGGAGAAAAAACAACGATTTATTGTTAGACATGATAAATTTTAATTAAAAAAATGAACCAAAACTAATGAAAATATAAATCGTAGGTTAACAAGAAGGATAATGCATTTAATATTTTTATGGTTTTCTTTTTTTGAAACATCAGAGGAAATTTGATGACTCACAGATGACTGAAAACATCTTCAAGATTTTGTATAAACATCATTTCATTTTAAAATTATATCCCTTAAAATAACTTGATTTAAAAATAAAATAAGATCACACTCAATAAAACAATCTCCTGTCCAGATGTTTCAAGTTTCTGTTCTTGCTTTTTTAATGTTTTTTGCTTGTGCAGTTTCCTAAAGTACCATCCTCGGTCACTGATGCTTTGTTCTTTTTTATTTTTGCAGTTTTTGCAGGTAAAGACAAACTCAAAGATTATTGTCACCCTTGAAAATACTTAATTACATTAATATCCTTCCTGCCTAGGTAATCATTTTCCTCTTTAAAAGATGTTAAAGAACAACAAAAAAAGCAAAAACACATGATCTTCTCTTTGCTTTGAGCCCTCGCTCGTACAAACACAGATTTGTGGATTAACCAAACAAGATTCTTATGGGACAAGTGAAAACACGGTTTTCATCCGACTGTCATTTTTGATTGATTATATTGCCCAACTGTATGAAGAATACAGTAAGAGTCTAAATGCCACATAAACACAAGCAGAAGAATGAGCACTTATTTTGATGTTAAAATGTCTAAAATAATGAACAGTGTCAACTTAAAAACAAAACAAAACACAAAGTCAAGAAAGTCAAGAACCAAAATCAATCAAAAAAGTCAAAAAACACACAGGTTCTTCCAGCAGCTCATGTGGTTACAAAAGCTGCAAAAAATAATCGTCTGCAAAGGGAGTCTGATATAATATTTGCTGCAGGTAAATTTGCTAACATTCACCTCAGTTGATTAAGGTAAGGACATGAGGAGGAAACAGTAGGAGCTGTGTGAGGCTAAAGGCAGTGGATCCCTCAGCAGCTGGATTACAAGGAGCACAGGTAACATACGTGTACCAGTTGTTTCAGAGGTATTCAAGTATAAAATAATAATAAACATATTTGGAAAGTTTTGGTTCTATAACGTTGTTTTGTTATAACTTTATTATAAATTAAGTGCAAGAGTTGTTAAGTGTGGATAATTAAATAACAGATTAATGCAATAGCAAATTGTGCCTTATTCTCCGTTGGACAGCAAATGGAGAGTGTTGACGAGATGGAAGGAGGAAGAGAGGCAAAGAGTGAGTCACAAGTAGAGCCTTGTTTATTTCTCAGTTTGTTGCCTTATGATTCCAAGTGCTGTCTCAGATCAACACAGCTCTGCCCTCAGCACTATCAGCAGCAGGAACAGCAGGAGCAACAGCAACATTGCACCCCATCAGGTAAAACATAGGTTAGGTTTGTGCTGCACTGTTGCTACCTGACGACAATGATATAGTATGATGCGATTGCATATTAGATTCTTGATGAATGTATGTCTTTCTTTGCCTTTAGACAATAATTCTGATGGCAAAAGAGCCAAACCGGACAGGCGACAAAAAGATGAATGTGTGTTGTTGTTATTCAGCCTGGTTCTATGTGCCCCTTTTTAACTTTGAGCACCGCCCCTTTAAACATCTCTGCACGGCCCTGGGTGCGTGCACGTTTCAGTTTTTGATGGCTCCAAGTCACTGATTTGAAGGTCGTCATCAGCAGGTTTTTCACTCATGAAAGTTTGTGCTTTACTGAGCAGAAAGCCAAAACTCAGCAGAGTTCAGAGGGATCGACGTCTTCACTGCAGTCACAGAACTACACACCGGACCAAAGCAGTGCGTTTACCGGGGCGTGCTTGGATGGTTTTAGAGCTTCCATTTCCTATTAGCTGAAGTTTAGCACTGTCAATAATATTAAAAAAATAAATTATAATGAATACAGTTGTTCAAACAAAGAGAAAATAAACACCACATCAATCTGAATTTGCCTCATCTTACATCATTTCCTTAGAAATTAATAAAATATTCTGTCATGCATGTTGTTGAACGATGCTTCACTCTGACACACTATTAAATCATTTTTGACTGAACAGCAGTTACATTCGACTGATTATAGACATCTGGTTGTATCTTCATAATCATACTGTTTTCAAACAAGTTCATTTTTTGGTGTAGTTCATACAAGATTTACTCACGTATCCTTTTTGCTGTCTCTTCGTCGTTGTTCTCGATGCTCTGGGGCAGTGATTATGAAAGTGTGTAGCGCACCCCACAGGTGGGGCGCAGAGTTCTGACAGGTGGGGGGCATTTTACCTGGCAGAAGCATCATGCGGAACAAATGTTTAACATTGGATTCACTTTTTCGGCGGAAAAAAAAATTGTGTCAGTTACATTAAAATTGCACATCCGCTGAAAAGCTGCAGCCGCGTGTTTAAGTGAACATTTATTTATTTATATTGCTTTTTTAAAGAAGTGGTGCAGACTAATGAAGCAGTCTAGTGATAAAAGTTATAAATAGTTATTTGAAATGAAAGTTGTGTGTTTAAAACAAAAATTACTGAAGGATTTATTGCGAAAGAATTTACTATCTAAATAAAGTTGCAGCTAGGCTTTTCTGTCCATCTGTTTGGTTTTGATGGGGTGTGAAAATATTTATTCCTGCAATGTGGGGACTGATGTAAAAACTTTGAGAACCACTGTTCTAAGGAATCAGGTCCAGGAAACATCATAATCAGTTGAAATGACTTGAACAAAATGAATTGCAAAGTGATGAAAAAAAAAGTCATTTACCTCTTCCTCGTCCATACATCTTAACGACCACTGCTGCTAGTAGTTTAAACATAATAGCAACAAACAAAGTTGCTACAATAACGGCAAAAAATTCTAAAACTGAAAGAAACAGAAAGAGG